GTTTATAACTTTGTCCTTATAATAGTAGATGATTGACAACAGCCTACATGTCTGTGAATAGAGGACTATTTAATAGAGCATGACACATATACATAATAGAATAAAATGCATCTATAAAAAAGAGAGACATCTGTAAAATGGTTTTAAAAATAACAAGTTATATCTGTGAAGGTAGAGGATATAATGATATGTATCAAAAGCTGTTGTAGGGGGAAGGGGAGAGAAATGACCCAAACATTTTATTCACATATGAATAAAAGAAAAAAAAAAAAGAAAACTGTTGTATAATGAGGGGTGGGAGGGAAGGAGTAGAGTAAGGGAGAGTAATGGAAGGGGTTGAACTGACCAAAGTAAAGCATACTCACACTGGGGATACATTGAAAAATCCCTTTGAACACTGACTTAGGAATTAATAACAAAAGACAGGACTATAAAATAGGTACAATGGGATGGATACTTCTGGGAGAAGGAAGAGTGAACAAAGGAGATTAAGGTGAGGGAATATGGTTGATGGACTTCATATTCCTGTACAAAACAGAACAATGAATCCTCTTGCAATTGCTTTAAGTGGGGTGGGAGGGGTCAAAGGGGTAGGTGGTGGGGTGATATAACCAATGTACGATGTAAGCCTATTTGGAATTGTCACAATGAGTTTGCCTGTACAATGAACACATCCTAATAAAAATTTTAAAATAGCAATTTTTAGAGCTATGTATGGATTACACTAACGTTTTCATTTAAAAGCAGGGGTAATGAGTATTGTATTAGTTTAGCTTAGGATTCATCATAACAAAATACCACAGACTGGATGGCTTCAACAACAGCAGTTTATTTTCTTACCTGTCTGGAGACTAAGTCTGAGACCAAATGTCTCAGGTTGGTTTCTTGTGAGACCTCTGTTTTTGATTCGTAGATGATAGTCTTTCTCCATAGTCTTAATCTCTTCCTTATTTGAGGATACCATATTCAACTAGGACTACCCTAATAGCATTGTTTTAACTTAATCACCTCTTTAAAGGCCCCATTCCAGACAGTTACATTCTGAGGTACTGAAGGTTAGGACTTAAACCTATGAACTTGGGAACAAACACAATTCAACCCATAGCAGGTTTATACATGTGCCCAAATTCTTCAGTCTGTATATTTTAAATATTGAATATTGATTATGCTTCAGTAAATACATGTTTAAATGGAAGACAGGAATAAATGTTCATATTTGCTTTGATATGGATAGCAAGAATGATTGCCTTTTGCAGAAGAGGTGAGCACCTAGCAGATACGAGTTCAAAAATGAGACTTTAGAAAAATATGTGAATGTATGTATTACTTATTTTTAAAATCACATAAATATTTTTTAAACATTAATATAGTAGTATTGCTAAGCACTTTGAGGGTTTGGGGGAGGCAGTGGTCGCTATAGGCCGAGGCCATTGGTCCAGCACACAAAACTCTTCACAAGTTCTGCTTTCTGGGGTAGATTTCATTTATCTCTGTCAGAGCCTTAACTGTATGGTCTCTACTAACTTTAACTCTTTTATTTTCTAACATTTTACTGTTTTTTAAATTTTCCTTATCAATATGTTTTTACAGTAAGAAAAATGAAAAGATTTACTTTGTTATAGTAAAACATAGCTAGCTAGTTATATTCAGAAGCAAATTGCAGTTTTCAAAACAGTTTTGGTATGATTTACAATTTGCCTTAACTGATTGCTTTTCCATCTCTGTATCAGAACCTCATTTGCTTCTTAACTTCAAGGCAATTTTTTACTAGTTTGAAGGCCTTAGGAGCAAGTCTAGGCTTTGGTCTTCTGTGAGTTTTTCTCCTTATGATATCAATATTGATTACTCATTTGCTTAAAAGACTGAAGACATAATTTGGACCTCTAATAAAACTTTGGCATAGAAAATTGTTCAAATAATATATATTCATAGAAAGATTTCTTCCATTAATTCATTTCATCTAGCTCTTAAGAATGCTTTAAACTGTGACAGAATTTAATTTTAGAAAAAAACTACAGATACATGTTTTCCCTAAGACACTGCTGTTTTGTCAATGAGTTTGAGCAAGATTATAAAAATAATAGTAAACTTTATAAAGTTAAGTTCAGACTGCATTCTGAAGCCCCTCTTCTTTTCTTGATCCATTTCTGAACTATCTTTGATCTAAAAGGATGACTGTAAACAGTATAGAATTTTGGCATTTTATAAAATATCAAAAGGAGCTGACTAGAGTCCCCTTCAGGGCATAAATTATGAGCTTATGGGTGCCTTCAGAGTTGCTAGATAAAATTTTCTTTTATGCTATAGTTGTTTGTTGGCCATGGTGATACCTTTAGTCACATTCAATTCAGAGGTAGGCTCTGGAGCTATCTCTTTACTCTTGTCTTCTATGCCAATTCAAAGTCCTCTGAGGAATAAAGAGACAAGGAAAGTTCTTGACCTGGCTCTGATTATAACACAAACTTTTCCAGGAATCAGCTTCTTCACCTATAAATTGAAAGGATAGCAGTTAAGACTTTATAAACACTTATCATGTTTTATATGCTTCATGTATTTATTTATACAACCACTTCCTGAAATGAGCACTGTAATTATCCAGAATTTTAAAACTGAGGAAATAAACCATAGTGACCTTTGATCGCCATTTTCCTTCTTTATTTCTTCTGCTGTGTTTATAGATTATGTAGAAAATGTTGGGTACATATTTCTTACATAAACTTTCTAAAATCAGTGACCTCATACTTCTTGAAGAGCGCATTCTTAATATTATATGAAAATAGAAATTCATATAACTATTTTCTGTACACTGTGAAAAGAAATGTGGTGCCTTATTTAATTGGTGAAGTATATAGAGTTGTGAGCATTGTGCCTGAAACTTTCTGAGTTTGTTCCTCTAAACTATACGGCTTCAGCCTTAGCTCTGTTGCTTTCACCCTTCTTGTTGGCTCTCTGCTGCTGGAATTAATAATTTTCTGAATCTCACAGAATCCTAGCTGTGGAGGTTCTGCCAGGATCCCTTGTAGGTGCCCTTGTGGATTAAGTACCCTCAAGTAGCTTCCAGTATAGGAGCTGGAAAACAGGGAGGGGAAATGAAGTTTCTATGAAGGGTTTTGGTTTGGTTTAGTTTGATTTCTTTTCAATCTTTTTCTGAGTCCCAACATTTGAAAACTATAATTCTATAAATTTTGTTTTATTTTGGTTTTAATAAGCAGTGGAAAGATTCCCATTGTCTCTTGCAAAGCGGGTATCTACATCTCAAATGTGAATTGTCTTTCAAAAATATTTCTGTAAACTATTTATTTTCAATTACCATCAAACCCACATTATTTGCACAGTAAGACATTCTGTACTAAATAATTAAGAACAAGCAGACCTGAGAAATGATCACTTTTCAGGGTGTTTCTCCAAGGAATCTGCTGAATTTTCTTAGGTTTTGATGTTAGGCTTCGTTAGGTTTGGTTTTCAACTCTCCTTTCAACAGTAATGGAAGTTTTTTTGGATTGTGCAGAAGAATATAAAAATGGGTGGTGGAATGGCAGCAAGATAGGCATAACTATATCTTGACCATAAGTTGCAAATTGCTTTATATAGCTTTAATTATCTATAAATGTGATTTTAGAGCCCTTTGTTCAAAATACCTGAGGTTATGTAGAAATGTACCTTATATTGTGATATATTTAACTAATTTTGCTTGTAGGTATAATAAATTGCTTTCTATTTCATTTGCCATAATCCACATTTAGTTAGTGAATTGTCAATTTTCTGGTACACTATTCAAGATGGCTTGTGCTGTATACTGAACAGAGATTTGAAGTGATTGTGACTTTTCATGTAGAAATTAGATTTTAGTGAAAGGTACCATTATTGCCAGAAATGGATTTTTTAATAACTGGCTCACCTCACTTTACTTCTTTCTTTATAGACCCTTTGTTTCCTGCTTATCCAGTTCCAGGGTTGATTTACAGCAAAGCTAATAAAGCTTAAACTTTAAGATTCCTCACTTGTCCATTTCCCTACAGGGACTGTGGCAGTTTTGTATTGTTAATTTAGTACTCATTCTCTTAAAGAGGGCCCTTTTGATTATATAAGCCTTGGCCTTACAAAACTACATCTGCATACAACTTATGACTATATCTCATTGGAATCCTTTGTAGGGGCATAGCAGAGAGGACCAAAAAAGTAAAAATAGAACAACTTTTTTGAAATCTGAAATCATGCAATCAAAGTGGGGAAAAAAATGGATTCTTTTTTTCCATGCAGTTTCCAAAGCTATCCCAAGTACTAGGAGTCTTTGTTGGTGTAGCATCCTTTTCATAAAACTTTACTCAGTCTTCATTGTTTTGCTCATGGGCAGATTATCTTCAGCTCTTGGCCTGTGTACAAGGCATTTAATAGTGGGCAAGATCCCGACTGACAAAGTTGCTTTACCTCTTCCCCTAGTCCTACCGTAACAGGAGAAGGGAGCAAGTAATGTGCGGGGAGAAGAGAGCTTTTAACAGTTCACAGACCTGTACTTTATAATCAGATGATCTTCTTACTACTTCCCCTCCACACCTTAGCCTAGGACTAGGATAAAACAATTGAGACACCTAGGGTGGAAAGTTAAAGCCAGAATTTATTAGACCACTGATAAAAATTATCATTCCCATCCCCAATTTCAAAAAGATAGGACTTAATGTTTTCCATTATGTTTACTTAATAAACCAAATGCAAAAGCAGGACATGATACCAAGGAGATATCTGGTCACTGAATAAATCACTTGCCAGCTTTGAGATTTTAGGAAAAATAACTTCCCTGAGCCTTATTTTTCCGAATTTAAAGGGTCGCTCTGAGAATTACATATATTTATGTGATATGTGTAGTGCTTATAATAGGCGGTCACTCCCTCTTCACAGGGTTCCTTCTGTACATGGGCTGCAGCCAGGCCCCGAGTACAGTCTGCCCAACTGGGCACATTCACTTGATTAAAAAGTGCATGACTATCAAACTGTATTTCCAGAGAATGATAAGGAGCAGGAGACACTGCCATCTCTGGATAAGCCTGGCTGGTACTCCCAAGGAAATGCTGTCACCTCTATGAACTTCTGAAGAAAATGACTGGCAAACCTGAACCCAAGGTATTTTCTGATGGAGGCAGAATCCGTCATGTCCACTTGCAGATACAAAAAGTTGTAAACTAAAACCATAGCTGTAAATGCATTCAGGTTAATTTTCTAAGGAAGAGTTGTCCCCCTCTGCCTATCTACCACATCTCTTCTTTTATCTCTTCTTGTTCAATAAGCTTTTTCTTTGTTGATATAGACTTGGTCTTTATCTGTGAGAGGAAAGAGCAAGAAATCCAAGCAGGGAGCCATAAATGTAGGGATTATTTGGGATTCATATATGGAATACCTGAGGAATGATCTCCTGATCACAGTTCATCAGAAAAGTTTGTGAGATTTGAACTCAGGGCTTTATGCTTGCTAGGCAGGTGCTCTACCACTTGAGCTATGCCCCCAGCCCTCTTTGCTTTATTTATTTTTCCAGTAGGGTCTTGCATTTATGCCTGGACTGGCCTATGCCATGTGATCCTCCTATTTATGCTCCCTGCCTAGCTAGAATGTTAAGCATGTGCCACCACACCCAGATTTTATTAGTTGATAATAGGGTCTGGCAAACTTTTTGCGTGGGCTGGCCTCCAACCTCAATCCTCCCCTCTTTGCCTACTGAGTAGCCAGGATTACAGGTGTGAACCACTACCCCCAGACCAAAAAACAATTCTATGTAAAACAAGCAATAACTAAAATTATACTACTGACGAGCCTAAGGGGACACAATTGGTTTTGACATCCTGATCACATTATTATTGTTGGACAGTGGTAAAATATGAAAGGAGAGATCATTGGGTAACTAAGCCCTGCTCCCTTGGCTTCTACATTCCACAGCCCCCTGAGGACTCCTGAGGGGTTTAGTGAACAAAGGAGTTTGACTTGCAGGTTCTAGTTCCTATACCATCCTTAACCTCATTTTCTCATCTGCAAATTGAAGGGCGTAGACTAGATCAATGAGGCTTTGCCTCGGAATACCCAGGAAATTCTGAGGGAAATCTAGAAAGCTAGATTTCATACACCCCACCATAATCTTTTCTGTTTCAGCATATCTGAGATGGAGCCCAGAAGCTCTTTTGAGAGTGCTGTGATATTCATTCTTGATAATACGTAACCCACTCTAGTAAGTTGTCTCTAGTATCTCACCAGCTTTTCTAGGGTCAGGTTTAATTGTAAACACACAGGGTGACTTCTTCTTTAGGAAATTAATTAAACTTCTTATCTCCTACCTTTCTCCTACCTGTAAATGGGTTGTTACGTCTTAACATGGAGTTAAATCAAGTGAGATAAGTCACTGGTCACCTGTGAAGTTATTCGAGTAAGTTTAAGATGTTCATACCATTTCTAGTTGTCATACTCTGATGTCTGTTGAAGAATTTTCTTCTATCTTCCACAAAATGGCTGCCACTCTCACAATTTTCATTCCTCAAACAGAATTTGCTGTCTGACTTATAGGTCGTTTACTTTGGTGACAGCATGCATTCAGATGTGTTTCCCGCCCGTCACTATAGTAACTGGGAGACAGTCCTTATCCTGGAAGAACTCCGAGGGGAGGAAGGACAGAAGCCTGAGGAGTCAGAGCCTCTGGAGAAGAGAGGGAAATATGAGGTAATGGCCCATCAGCTCTTTTCTTGAAAGAAATCTTGATGTTTGAAAGCTAAAGTATTCTCATACTACCTGACTTCAAAATTATCTTTGTTAAATGCCCTCATATTTCTGTAGTTTGTTTTAAAATCAGTAATTGTGTTAATGGGGCTCATCCTTAGCAAATGTTTCAAGCTAAAACTTGTTAGTATCTATGAAAACCTATCATGTACTTTTCTCCTTATGTTTAAAGGCAAGTGAGACAATCATGATTTTTGCACAAATATCTTTAGACATAAACCTAGATCTCCCACCTTATAAAAGTAGACTGCTTTAATATGTAAGTTCAGGATTGTTCCTCTGCACAGAACACTTCCAGGGAGAAGGGCAGAGCAACACAGCAAAAACAGCACCTCCTGCTTCCATGTGGAGAGGACAGAATGCAGATACCTTTGATTGCTACAGCAGGAGGGAAAGTCTACCAAGACAGCTAAAAAGAAAGCACCACATGAGAGTTCTTTGTACATTGTGATTGTTCAGAAGAGTGTAGGTTAGTTTTTCCAACTAAATCTCAAGCATGGAGAATATTAAATATACTTTCTTTTTGGCATGTTCACAGACTGAATGCAAAATAATTTAATTCTGTATTTCTAATTACTTTATTCAGCCTAAATACACTTTCAAAATATAATTAAAAACCAAATTAGCCCAATCATCTCAAGACTGATGCTGTGAAATAAAACACTTAACAAATAACTACATTCTGTTGAGATTAACTATTTGCTTCACTGAGGTTTGACTTTGATTTCTCAGACATTTGTAGCAATTTTCATTCTAAACAAGTCCACCTGGAATTTAAGGATCACAAAGTATAGATTTAACATGCCTATTCCCAAAAAATCTGAAGTGCTTCAAAATCTGAACCTTTTTTGAATACCAATATGAAACCCAATTTTTTTGGAGGGTGGGATTTTGGAGCATTTTGGGTTTGGGATTTTCAGATTAGGGATGCTTAACCAGTAAAGTCTATATAAATATCCCAAAATCTAACATACTTTTAGCCCTAAGCATTTCAGATAAGAGATGTTCAACCTTTATATAAAAATTTCAATGAATGCAGACAAAAAAATACAAAGGCCCCTATATAACTTTCCAAGTTCCCATGTAAATATGGGGTATGATAGAACATTACCAATCAGCAGAAAAGGATACAATTCAGTAAATACCACTTAGCATATGACAAAAAATAAGATTATCCTTTTTCTCATTCTACATGTAAAATAAATTCTGAAGAGATTATAGACCTAAATGTAAAAAATACATCTTTAAAATTTACTGAAGATAATTCTGATTTTTGTGACTCAGTGGGAAATGATTTCTCAAGTTACAACCCAGAGAACAATAATAAGTAGAGAAGTTGATAACCGGGGCTGCATCAATATTAAATATTTTTGTTCAAGATGCCTGGAATATTGTTCACTAATGGGCAAAAAACAGGGAAGAGTCTTGCACCATCCATTTGGCTTGAACCTTATGAAATTGCTATTTTTATGTGTCAAAAACAGGTAAACAACCACAATTTAATATGGTTCGACCCTATAAAACTAACAATTGGTTGATAACTAGCATATAAGAAGAAATTTAAAACTTGGCAGGAAATTAGACAAAAGGTATCAGGCAGTTGACTGAAGGGGAAAGTTTAAATGTGAGAGGAGACTCCCATCCTCATTAGTCGTACATAAAGTACAAATAAAACCATAGTAATTACCACCTTAAAGTCATCACTTTGGTAAAACTGAGCCTGGATTTTTACTTTGATTTACTACTATAATAAAATAGTCTGAGATAAATTTCTGTGAGCTAACTTAGAAATACATAAAGCAAGACCAATATTATTTACCAAAGTTTCACGCCATTGCATTTGACAACTCTATACTTTTCAGTCAGAAAACAAATACCGTTTTATTTAGAATTATACCTGTATTATAACCACCACCCTTTGGAAACTCCCTAAACGAAGAGTATATCTGTGATAGAGACTATAGCTATCCCTAGATGTAAAATATATTCATCTCTCAGTACTCCCAGTGAATAGCTAGAAAATGACCAACTAACCCTTTAAAAAGCCAGTTCCAGTTCAAGATAAGGGATACTTAATAAGTAATAATGAATGTAATTTCCTTTCCAAAAATGTAATAGGTACCCAGAGCTTGTTTACAGATTCCTACAGGATTTTTCTATTTTGATTTACTTATTGAATTCAAAAATATGAGATTAATTAGTTGCAGATTCATTATTAATCACAATTATTATTCTGTTCTCTTGTTTCAGAGACCAAAGGCAAAGCCTCTAAATACCTTATCTAATAAATGGGGCTCTTTTTTTATTGATTCAATTTCGGGACAAGAAAACACAGCCGACTCTATGGTTCATACGTGGTCTTCTAAGAGAATCAGTACTTACAGCACTATTGCAATTCCAAGTATTGAAGCCATTGCAGGTAAGGGGGAAAATACCTATGCAGCTTTACCTGCCTCTAGATAGTAATGACTATAACTAGAATTCTTGTCTTTAAAAGAAGGAAACCTTCCCATGATGTTGATTTATTTTTCTTGGGAAATATCTTCCAGATTGGGCAGCCTGGGTAATCAAGACCAGTCCTTCTGGAGGAACCAACTACCAAAGCTGGGCCTTTTTAAAAAAGTCTTCAAATATGATAAATGTAGAGAAGAATTACCAGGAAAGGTTGCTTAGGAGGAGTAAGGTGAAACTGGCTTTGGGGCAGCTTTTCCCCCTCAGAGTATTTGCTGATTCCAGAGAGGCCACCAAAGAGAGTGAGTGAGCCTTTCAGTTGCTTCCTGGATCTGATGAGATAAGAACTGGAAGAGAGGGTCTGCCTAAGGAGGGGTAGGCTTGATGAACAACCTCAATCTCTATTGAGACCCTGATGGGTTTTACCTAAGATAATAAGGATCAATTGGGAAGTAACCCCCATTTTCACAGGAACTAAAGCTCAGCTTCGAATTAACTGAGCTGATTATTCTAGGTTTCAAATTTTTGTCCTAAAAGCAATTCATATAATGTTAAGCACATAATGAAAATTAGCCTGGCACATTAGTATATAAGGCCATAGTAATAGAATAACCATGTTTACTATGATCAAATATAGAAAAGAATGAGAAATTTGGTACAGATTTATAAACTATGAAAAGAATTTAAATACTTAAAAAGTCAAAATTAGGGATGTAATGGGTGGATTTAATAGCAGAAGACACAATGGGAAATAAATTATGGCACTGTAAAATAGATCAAAAGAAAATATCCAGAATGAAGCACTAAGAAAAATCATGGGAGACATAAGAGAGGCTAAAGGAGGCATGAAATATGTAGCAAGAAGGAATAAAGTTTTCTGTAATTAGACTCCCATGAGTAGCTGAGTTAATATGGAGCATTTAGGAAAAAATCCATTATTAACATAAGAGAAAAATCACTTCATAATGATAAATTCTCAGTTCTCAGAAACATATATAGTAACACCAAGTCTGAGGTATTCACTAGGCCCCCTTCCTCTTTCATACCAGAACTTAATCTCTCCCTGTTTTTACAGTATCAAGAAAATGCTCAAAAGCCTACCCTGCTTTATAGAGGTATATGCTTCCTGTGTAGATTCTTAGTTTCCAGTTTCTCTTCTGACTCTGGCGATGAAAACCAGAGTCCCTTCCTTTACATTAGACAACTAACCCTTCAATTTTTTGTCTCTGCAGTCCCACAAGAATACCAAGAACTACTAATTTTTCTGCTGCCAGTAGCTATCCCTGCTACCAGCTAGAATTCAAATGCCTAAGGAGAACTAGTTTCTCCTTCCTGGGAATTGTGTGTCCTTAAGTGCTGATTGCCTCTTCTGCTCTCCAGCAACTTCACTCTTATGTTTATATTTTGTCCACGTTTTCTAGTTGTTTCAGCTCAAGGTTAGGAATACAGTCTAGTTGAATTTTGGGACTGAAAATTCTTCTTCCTTAAATTGGGAAGGTTGCATTTCCTCCTTCACAGAATGGATGTGAGAGAAAGTAAAACAAGATATGTGTTTAAATTATTGGTAGGTTGATGACAATGACCCTGAGACATATACAGTCTTTAAAAGAACCATCCATATGTCAGCATACAAATGAAGTATGTCAATATAACCTACTGTTTGAAATATCTTGTTCTCATTGGTTTCAAAAGCGTGGTTTATTTTTTCTTGTTCCATGCTTACACATATAAAATTAAAGATAATCTAAATACAATTCCTCCTTTTATAAAACATTGTCCTGTTAAAGAAATGAACTTTGTAAATTTCAAGGGTAGCCCAGAATTAAAGAATTATTTTCAGCCTTTATAGGTTACCCATTTTCTTTCAAAATAGCTCATTTTTAGTGAGAGAATATGATAATGGAAACCAGTGGATTATTATAAATTACCCAGGTAAAAACTTTCAAGGTATGATTATGAATAGTAAGAAAGTCAAAGAAAAGTGAAAATATTCTAGAATTTAAATATTTTTCCAAAGAACTGGAAAATGATCCTCTCTTTTTAACCATAACCTCAGTGTATCTCCCATTTTCATATTCTAAATACTTCCTTCACAGCACCCAAGAAAAAGAAGTGATAGGACCTTTGTCTGCTGTCCAGCTTTTCTCAGGAAGAAATACTAAATAGGACTTGCCCCTACTCAAACAAAGCTAAACAAGTCCCTATTTGTGGGGAAAAACTGAGAGTTCTTTCATATCCAATCATTTATTTTGATATTCAAGATACTTCCTCTACATTCTAAGTGTTAACTAGTGTGAGCTAGCACACTTTCCTGTAATTCTTATGAAGAATACGTGCTTCACACAGAACTTCAGATTTGTTACCATGGTAACAGTTTTATATTGCTGGATACTTACTGTGTAACTTAGCCCCAAGTAAGAAAGGTGGTTAGAAGAAAAACAGTGTAATGGTCATGACTTTAGAGAGGTTAAAGATAGAATCTTATGTAAATGTTATCCTGCTGGTCTTTTTTTAAAGTCCCAATTCTGTCCATATTATCTTATTTACATTGAACTTACTGTGTAAGAATATTTATTCATTTGGCTTACTTCATTTAATTGTGCCCCAAATGTATACAATATGATTGATGTTATGGTGTATTTAGTACACAGAGCATACAGAAAACTATTGGGATAAGCAAGAATTTGGTTCTTTATCTTTCTTTTTTCTTCCAAATAGCATCCAACAATGACTTTCCTATGGCAGAGATTTGAATGTTTTCTTCTTGCTAAATCCAGTCTCATGAATCTCCAGTATGGAAATCATTGTTCTAATACAACAGTTGTCTGACTTAGTTTGTCTTACACCAAGATTTCTTAACAATATCAGATCTTTTCGGTTACTTGGGAGACAAAATAATCCTATGTTTTAATGAGATAAAAAGGGAAAAGCAAAGCTCATACTCCCCTTTTGCCTCTTACAAAACCATTATCCTTAAATGTGCTTATTTCATTCACATTTAAATACCCGGAAGCTATTTTTAGAGTTACTATAAAAGTCTGTATTTAACCATATGTGTAACAATGATTGTTAGTTTATAAGCATTTTGATAAGATAATCTTTTTAAATTTATAATAACACTCACCCAGAGACCTCAACATTTTATGTTCGAAAATGTTTAAGAAAGGGGGAAAAGTAGAGATAATTGGCTCAACTGTTGGCCTGTACCGTTTTGGTAGTTTATCAGAAATATAGGATCCCAAGTGAACAATTTTAAAAACTCAGCTTTATGAGTTTACTTTACAGTGCTTTTTTAAAATGCATGGCCCAAAATGTATTCCAGCTAGCAAAACAGTAACCACCTATGACATTTACTAATCCTGAATGTTTTTCAGATTATAGTAATCCTGGTTTTCTGTGACATCAGGAAGGCAGTGTTCCTACTTATTGTCTAGCACTATTTTTCTTCTCATAAAGATTAACTGATGAGCCTTCATGATCCTCAGTAGCATCTAATATAAAGTATGCCAGCAACGTTTTAAAATAGTACTACTAAAGGATGTTTTACTTATAAAATTTGGTAAATTTGTAAAATAAAGATCACTGCCCTATGTCTGCATGTGGAATGAATGTCATAATGTATGTTATTATGCTTTACTTATACTATTTCTGGCTAATACTTCCTTGGAAAAAAAATGGAGGGGAAGTTTCTGAAGGCTATTGTTGAGAGGCCTATATCAAGACAACACAGTGTTCCACCATCAGTAAAACATGCATTGTATGTTCTCTGTCCTTATTCCCCTTGTGGTCGTGTGTGTGTGTGTGTGTGTGTGTGTGTGTGTGTGTGTGTGTGATTCTTATCACATAGAGGAACATGCTGTTTATGCATATAAGAATTCTTATTTTACTAAGCATTCAAAGATTATTTTTAGTAACCTCTCTTGGGCTATGAAAATTATTAGTTTAAACTCACCAGTTACATGAACCCCTTAATAGGGTAAGGGAGATTTAAATTTTTTTTAATTCAGATGAATATTCTTATTTTATGTGCTAACTTTGGTGTGCAGAGTTAAAATTAAACTCACTAGTTAGAGTTCTGGGATGATTTTCAGTATCTCTAAATGTGATTTCACTTAAAGATTACTATAAATTTTATAGGGAAATACATCTATTTTCTTTATCATAGAAGCTACCCATCCATATTAAAATTATGAAACTAAAATATTCAACTATCAAATTTTGATTTATTTATATTTATGAAAAGTATTTGGACAACTGCAGTATGATCAAATTTTTTTGTTTTTCTCTCATTCCAGAATTACCCTTGGACTACAAATTTACAAGATTTTCTTCTAATAATTCAAAAACAGCTGGCTATTATCCATTGGTCCATTAGACCTTTGTTCCATTACACCAGTGGTCTTATCAAATAACAAGACACGACATCTGAATAAATTATTTTTCCTGAAATGAAGAACAATATATGCAACAAATACACTGTAAAAAATGTTTTCAAAACATATTGTGAGACTCTTTATATGAACAAGTTTTTAATGAAAATTTATAAGAAATTGGTATTTGTCCATAGGTTTCCTTTTTTATATAAATCATTTTGATGTTAACAACTCCTTATATTAACATCTCAGTTTCTTAGAACTAAAAAGAATATTGTTGTTATTTTCTATACCAATAGTTTTGAGATTAGAATTCACCTAGGAGAAAATACATGAACACACATACATGTATGTATACATATGCCTAATCCAGTGGTTCTCAAAGTGTGGTCTAATAATAACATACCATCACCTAGAACTTGGTAGTGCAAATTTGAAAGCCCCACCCAAAACCTACTGAATCAAAAACTGAGAGTGGGGCCCAGCATTGTGTTTTAACAAGCCCTACAGGTGATCCTGATCCAGTTTGAGAACCAGTGGCTAGACCACATATTCCAGAGATTGGTTTAATTACCCTGGATAAATATAGCTGATCATTGGTATCTTTTATACAGCCTTTATTAAAATTGAGAATAACTGATCTATACTAATTCTTTCATTTTATCACTAAGAACACTGAATCCAGTGAGATTAAATCATTCTTCCAAGCTATTAGCTTTTTAGCTATTTCTGTGCTTCCCAAAATACAGAAATAAAGATACATGATTTCTTTTGAGTTTATAACAGTCAGTACCAGAAGCTAACAATCTCATCCTCCATTGTTACACACTAGTTTTTCTAATCATTTCGAATAGCTTTAATTCATTTTGAATAGCTTTAAGACATACATTCTCAAGGGGAATAAAAATTGGCTCTTGGGTTACAAAACAACCTTAGATAGTATAATGGATTGTGGTCTTCCATAGCTAAAACCTACTTAAGAGAAAAAAATCTCATTCCTTAGTGTTAATTTCTATCACAAGAGAAAATGTTAATTTAGAGTTGTTAGATTTCATTTTTTTAAGCTATTATTTTCTCCTTGGGAAGGGAGGGTGATTTTTTAAAAAGAAAGGAAAAGGTTGAGAAAAAATGCTATAAGGGGCTTTACAGGTATACTATGTCCAGGATTATTGTGTTCTGTGTGATATATATTATTAATATTAGCAGTATTTTTACAAGATGTTTGGGTCCAGCTAATGTTTGCAGTAAGTTTCTGGCTGCTCTTATGGACAGGAACAGGAAACAAACTGGTATCATTTTTCTTGTATTGTACCAGGAATTTGGCATATTGACATATGCAATGAAAAAATATTTTGTTAAAATTTGTAAATGTTCAGATAAATCCCAAATACATTGTGGGAATGGGTATCTCAGGGCAAGTAATAGGTTATTAAATTTTTTTCCCTCAAAGCCAGTAGCTTTGTTTGATGTCTACCAATAAGTTTATGGTGATGTATTTGAAATTGATGTCCAGATTGTCATTGGAGTATTACAAGGAGCATACACAATCAAGCTTAGGGCCAAATGAATGCTAATATCTCACGTATACTCTTAAAAAGTAGAGATTTGATTTCTTTCAAAAATAAAGCTATTTTTCCTTATGCCTGTTTATTCTATTAAGTAAAAAGAATAATCTTTAAGTGTTTATAAACTTCTGTTAATTTAAAAAATGAGAAGCCCAAAATTTTGGCCTTTCAAATCAGAAGTTCTAGTACTACATTTATGGGTACCCACCTAAAAACCCAAAACCAAGTTCCCATCTAATATTGCCTAGCCTTTTCCATGCTATAAAGAGGTTAGTGTTTATTTTTAAGTTTCCTTCCCCCTTTCTAACATGTCATTTCTGACTGTGGTGAATGTTTTTTTGTCAGACTGTAATTCTGCTTTTTAAATTTACATTTTCTATTTTACAAAAAGTGCCAGTGTTTCTAATTGGGTATGAAGAGTAAAAACAATCATCTAGCAATGAATATAAAAATTAAAAAGAATATTAGAAAAAAGTTGTTTTTTCTTTAATGAAGTTATATGGAGTAAGAAAGCAGGAAATTTTCTATCATGACCAGTGACTTTTTCATAGTAATGGAAACATCTATATAATTTTGTCACTTAGAATACTGTTGTCAGTGTAAAACTATTTTCTGTGCACCATCCTTGTTTACTACATTTATGTTAACTGTGCTTCCCTTTGTCTAATTCTCTTAATAAGCTTAAGACAGACTTTTGGAAGAACTGATCATGGTAGATTCTGTGAGTGCTTAAACTTTTTTTCTACAACAGTGTGGTGCTTTAAAAGGAATACCCAAAATATTATGACTGATATATTTGGAAACACAGATACCACTTCAGTTACCAGTAAGGATAGTTTTGCTGTTCAGCCAGATTTTCCTAAAGGTTTGGAGGATAAGTACTTCTGCATTCTCTGTAGTAGAGAGGGCTGTGGATTCTGCAAGTTCTATGAAAATGAATAACCAAGTATTTTTAGCCATCTAAGCAAAAAATTTGACATAAATGGCCCAAAATCTCTGATTTGAGTTAAAACCTAATAATTAAACATAGTTATACAGAGTTGCTGCCCCTTTGTGCACTTCTTCCTTAGCAAGTTCTACTCCTGAGGTGTAATTTTTCTAGCCCTAGTTAGAAAGATTTAGCTCATTTAGCATGAGCTTTTGTAAGCTCAACCATCTATTTCAAGCTTTATTTTTTTATTCCTCATTTGGACATAATCAGAAAATGACATTTTTCTTGCCCTTGATTTATTATCAGCTTTAGTCTAACCCATGGTGATCAATCTTCTAATATGCCAGCACCACTCATTTGTTACAGAATAACATAGTTCTATTCTGTTTAGTCTATAAAACTAGTTATTAAATTAGATTCAGCATCATATTGATTGCATTTACCAACTGAATGGTTCACTCCAAAAGCCCTGCTCCATTTCTTTGCATTACCTGTTTTTTTCCTCAGTTCTAGACTCCAGTATTTTTTTTTCTTGAGACAGGATCTTGATGTGTAGTCCAGACTAGCTATGAACTTTTAATCTTCCAGCCTCAGCTTCCAGAGTGCACTACCCCAATTATTCTTTATGCAGCCCTCTAAACTAGTTAAGAGATTCTGTCATCCTCTGATCACCAAAGAAGGATTATCATTTTGGTCTACTTAGGCCATATTGCCCTATGAGTAGTGACACACTTCATAATTGCCCTGTGACCTTTTGGTAACATTAATGATTCTCCAACTTTTATTAACCTACACAACACAAATTATTATTCATTTTTATTTTTCAGTGAAAACCAGAATTACAGCAGTAACATTCTATTTTTTCTTCAAGCATATAGAAGACAAAAGTACTAATGATTCTCATTTAGCTAGATAACAATTCTACTAGTACTTATACTGGTTAGGAACATAATATCAAGTACATTATTACTAGGTCAAGATATATCAAGTAAGACAACAGTAACATTTTTCTTTTTGAGATTACAAGACACAGCAACAATTTGTAAATCTTCAGACTCTTGAAAGATCACATTATTCAAATTATATTTCTAAGAATAGACCTATATATGAACAGTGACCAGAACAAGCTAATCTGTTAATGGATATTCACAGAAATCTTCATACTGCACAGGACACAAATTTGTTATTTTTGCATGTGTTCTCAATTACAAGCAAAAAGCAGGCCTGTAAACATCAATTTTGCTAGTAGGCTGAAATGGACAGAGAAATTCGTAAGATTTTACTCAAACACAGTGAAATAAGGAGCACACACCATTATCTCCCACATACATAATGGTTATTCCTAGAATAACAGAGAAAACATCCCGACTTGCATTTTTGTTTATAAAAATCTACCAGTGAATTCAAGGAGTTAGGAAAAACTGAAGGAAAATCCTTCTCCAAGCATCCTACTTAAAACCCAGCCCCTGTGAGTCTCCTACCTCTACTGAGAAAGTGCCTCAGGGGCTTCCTTGCTACCCACCTGAAACCCTGCAGAGCATCGTCACTTGAGGCCTTAGGAAGCTCACACCACAGCAGACTCATTTCTGCTTCTTGGCCTTTAGAACTTGTCTTAGAAACCCAGCCAGACCCCACATGTTCCTTTATTCCCCAGAGGAGGCTTGGTATCTTCGAGAATGCAGACTGCAGCCTGCTTACTCATTTGTTAGGACAGACAGGAAGGAAATGCAAAAGCTGACAAGTAAGGGCCAAGAAGGTCAAGCAGTAGGATGGAGCCCTATAGGACAGCAGGACAGTAATAAAATAATACAGAGGACAAGGATGAACCACAAAATGCTGCTGTTGGGCCATTTCTACAGCCCAGTGCCCAAAAAAGAATTGCTATCTTTAGAAGTGCTCACATCCTACTCAGGTCTGTCTTGAATCCATCACTGAGGTCCTTCTTTCTTCCCAGCTTCTCAAACTAATAAAGCTCAAGAAACATCCGGACCTGGGTGGAAGGGATAGGGAAAATGGGTGGAGATGTCAAGGCTAGCCTGAAAGAACACTATCCAAAACTAAACAATTAACCTATCGGTCTCCCTTTGAAACTTTCAGACCTTGCTAAAATAAGTGGGGCCAAGGAATGAGGGCATTAAGAGATCTGGAATCTATTTAAACAGTGCCTTTTTCCTCTCTGGGAACCACCAAAGGGAGAGCAAACTAAAAAAACCAGCTCTGCTCAGTTTTGTTTTCTGTCTCTGAGGTGTAACTGCTTCAACGAGAGAGAGGGAATGAAGGAAAGGAGAGGGGGGAAACAGGAGTGAGGTATATTAAGCCCAGCATTCCAGAAAAACTTCTTCCTCCGTTGACCCCACCTGGCAACTTGGTCATGATCAGAGTAGGTGTGGAAGGGGAAAAAGGGGAATTATCTAAGTTGCCTGAATTAAGGATGATTTGGCTAGGGCTCAGAAAGACTAACTGCTGGAAAGGACCCATTCCAGCTTCGCTTTGGGCACTGTCACAACCTGCCTGACAGCCAAATGATATCATGGAAAATCATAGTGGAGGTGAGGGGAATGCTGCCTGGGAGCTTCATAGATTATTCCTGAGCAGGCAGATAATGGTGGCCTGGTAAAACTCAACCAGCAGAGTGCAAATAAGGGTGGACTATATATAGTACAGGACTTCATACTCACCAGTACCTGATCACTATGCTCATTAACCAAAGGTACAAGAAGATCAACATGATAACAAAACACTCCTCATCTGTTACTTCATTCATGCTAGTAGTCACCCACCAGCTGGAACTGGTGGATAGCAAAGGCCCAGGAAAGCAGCTGGGATCCAGTTAGTGGTAACCTAGAATGTCCAGTTTGGGTTGATGGCTGAGTTGGGATTTCAGTTTCATCTTGCAGTGGTGAAACTCTGAGTTTGTGATAGTACATGAATATAGGAGCACAGCCAGCATAAAGTATGAAACCTGGCTAGTTATTTGTGAAGATGTGTCAAGCTTCCTTATGGTAGAGAACCACTTAAAACACTGGGAGAAGACCATCATCACAGACAGGACCCAAGCCATGCAGAGAGACAGTTATGTATCTACAGCATTGTGAGCTTGGAATAGAAGCAGTAGAAGGCCATGCACTTGGAACATGTTAATATGATGCAGAATAGTGTGAAGGCCCAGAGAAAGAAGAGCATAGGCATACAGAAGACAATCTTGTAACTGATTGTTGAAGATTTAGAACTAAAGGACAAAATAATCCAGTACGAAGAGAGAGCAGACAGAAGACTGCATGCTGCTGGCCAAGCATAGGAGTTGATAAGGAAACTTGTACAGGAGCTTTGCACAAGGGCATTGATTAGCCAGACTGGAACCTGAAGGATCTGGGGCTCTCCACAGGCTGCCTTGGTGCACCTCGAATTCCTCTGCGGGGCCCTTCACCCATCAGGTAGTATTGTAGGGGATTGGACCACAGTTCCCCCTTGATAATTTCAGCAATTCTGTCGAATTCTAGGAGGCTGTGATCTGAGAACCAGTTGAAGAAACTGGAAATAGTGTTCCCTTCCCGGTTCCTATGGATATGGGCTTGGGGGTCTTGGCCCCGGTGCCAGCGGATTGGAGTGGAAAGAGACACCACTCGGCCAGAGGATCTGCGCTCATACTCCTTGACCAGCCCCTCGTTTCGGAAGTAGGGGTTGCTCTGAAAGATGAACTTGAATTTGCAGCCTGCTCTAGGGTGTTTAAGCTCCTCCACCTCCAGATTGATCATGTACCTCATCATATCTTCATCTTGGCCACTGATCATAGGTGACAGCTGGGGATGGTTCCGAAAGGCGGTGACCCAGAAACCTGGAATATTTTGGATAATGAAACTCCTGCGCTGCATGTGGAGCCTTCTCATCCGCCCAAATTTGCGCTCGAGCTGGAGAAAGGCCCTGTCAGCCTGGGCGTTTACGTTTGACAGCTCTTGATCGATGGCCTCCAGAGAGTCCATGCAGTTATTGATCTTCGGGGCCCTGGGTCGTGGCTCCTCTTTCCCTCCTGCAGCTACCTTTTTCTCCTTCTGTACCACCTTCTTCTCCTCCATGGCTGCCTCGGCTTCGCCCTCCTTTTCCGCTGCCACTGAGATGGCGCACTTCTTGGTCGTCACTTCCTTGGCCTTGGCCCCAGGCATCATCTGAGACCCCAACCCCTTTGCGCCACAGGCTTCCAGAGCCTTCTGCCCGGCAGGGCTGCGCGGCTCTCCAAGCTGACAGCCATTTTTCTGGCTGTCGTCAGCTACCACCGGGGCGGAGGCTGCCTCCAGGCCCTTGAAGGGAGGAAGAGCATCTTCCCGCTCTGCTCGGGTCGCCGCCAGGTCGCTATTCGTAGCGACTGGGGCTCGGGGCGCCAGGCCATGGTCCGACGAATCCCGGGGTGCGCCTCCCTCCGCAGCGGCCTCCAGACCGCGCTCACCTGCATCCGCCATCGCCTGAGCCGCCTCAGTTTCCTCAAGAAGCCCCTGGCGCTGGTTTAGGTTCAGGTCCCCCGGGGCACGGTCAGGAACAGTGGTTTCAGCTAGGGGGAGCTTGCTGCCCCCAACCAGGCCGCTCATTTTTGGTAAAGGTTAGACTCGTAGGAGCAGAGCGTTCGGTGTCCTCTGCAGCAGCCGAGCTCCGCCGCAGTCAGCCCCTAAGCACCGCCCCTTTTCCTCCAGGGCGGGCGCTACCATGGCAACCGGTGACGTTAGGGCAGCAGCATCTAACCGCCGCGCTAGAACTAGCTGTGCTGGTGATTACGCTTGTCAATCAAGCGTATCTCTTTGTCTTGCTACAAGAGGTTATAAATTTAATCAGTCTGGAAAAGAAATGTGACTTACATAAACGGATGTAGACAAAAATTCAAGCATACAAGAACTTCATTAATGTGGTTTTCTAGGCCTCTGAATTCCGAAGGTAACTAAATTACTGTTTCTTCAAATATTTACTTTTAAAAAGGGGGCAGTTATCTAATAAAGTAGCTCATCGTAAGCCTTCTCATGAATAGGAGAACAAATCACCAACTCGCAGGCCACAGCTCTTTAGGACACAAATTCATGGCTATTACTAAAGAACTGAAATGGGCAGAATTTGATTTTTAGAGAGAAATGAAGAGTTGCTATGATTTTTTTAAAAATTAGGAACATCTGAAAAGAAAACTTCTCTCATCCTAACAAGACATAATAAAGGTTCATTTCAATTTCCTTACAGATTTTTAAGTTTTTATACTTTGGCCAACGTCTCTGAAACATTTGGACAGTATTTCCTCTTCCCTTTTGAGTAGCAAAATGTTTGTCCTTATTAAGAGGCAACCATACATAGCAATACTGCTTCTCCTTGGGTTATAATCTTAATTTCTGCTCCATAATTCCTGTGGGAATGAAGCCAGCAAGTACATGCACAAATTTGCCCTATGATAATTCACTGAAGTACAAAATCAATTATTGCAAGCACCTAATCTATTGTCTCTTTAAAATATTTACTTAAAACATAAGAAAGGTCAGTTATCTACTCAAGTCAGCTCATTTGACAATATCACTACTGTCTATTCACTGGTTGGAGTATAAAAACACTGGTTAAATTCACAAACTACTATAACTCTTTGCAACAGGAACTCTATCTAGAGTACCCCAAAATATGACCACATTCAAATAAGGGCTCAGAAATAATGATTTTGGGGGAAAAGATTTAAAGAAACACAGCATGCATTCTAAGACTTCTAGAGAGGAAAAATAGTGTAGAACTGGTTCAACTAAGAATGAGGTGGTGATGGAAGGACACAGCTTTTCTTTTCTTTTTTTTTTTTTAACCCCTAGTCACTCTACTGAAGGACAATGACCAGACTGACCTCTTCACTGCCTGTTAACTAATCAGTTAACCTATTAAAAATGTGCAAACAAAATTCTCTCAAAAGACAGTAGTTATTTTCCTCTCTCCTCTTTCCTCATTTTTGCCTTAGTGGTATGAAACCAAGTTATTTGTACATCTTCTTTGTAAACAGTGTGCCATAAATGACTTTGTGACTTTTGAGTTATTCTTTGACATTACTCTGCTTTGTTTCTTTTCCTAAGGAAACTTTGCACTGATTGAATGATTTTAACCTAAGCCAAGATGCAGTGAAGCAGCAAATGCTGTATGAAAGTTACTTCGCAATACAGAAAAAAAAAAGTTTGCTATTAGGAACTTTACAGGAAATCATACATGTGAACTTTTTCTCTTTTGGTGTATAACAATTTTTAAAGATTTATCTCTACTTAAACATCTCTGTCTCCAGCTTTAATTCTTCCTGTCAGCTGAATAATTTTCCACTCCTAACAGCTTGCCCCTTGTTTAAAACTTGGTCCATGTAAGTTGCACTATGCATTGAAAATGGATTAAATTTCATAAACAGGAGCCCGAAAAGCACTAAGAAGTTAACTTGCTGGTGATGGAAAATATATTAGTGACATAGTGCCTTCTTCCATCTGATAGTCCTCTAAATTTCCATAGTTCTTATGACCTTTGCCATCCAGTTTAGTACTTATCTATCCCCTGTTTTTTAACTTCCTGGTGGTTTCATGAAGGTCAGTCTCCTTCCTCATCCCAGCTAGATGAAAATGATTACACAGCAGCTTCTTCTTTGGCATACACTAGAGTATAGGTCAATAACTATCACATAGAATGTTTTAACGAAAACTGATGGTTAAAATGAAATTTTAAGTTTATAGGAAAACTTTAAAAAGGTTTTATCAAAATGAATATGACTCCACTGGTGTTTTGAGTTAGGCAGATATATGCTGTAACTATGAATTACAGAATTTTTGGCACATTAGAATATCAGACATTTTTTTACACCAACAAAGCCTGTTCTGTTGGTTCATTGTGACTGAAACTCACTCCATGGAAAAAGATACAAACATCAGTAATTAATGATTCTATGGAAAAATTCCATAGAAAATGCCATGAAAATCTATATGCAATTTTCATTTGCCAGGAGATAAGAGGCTAATAGAAGCCCAACATAAATTAATACAAATAGGAATAACTTTACTAAAGTATACAGTAAATTTTGGAAAATTTATGGAATATGCACAGTTGCTCTTTTTACTAGCAGTTTACTTTTCAGTGATATAGTTTCTGGTTATATATATTCCTTGTACCTTACATTTATTTAGTGCTTTCCTAAATACCAGATACTTTTATATACTTAAGCATGTTACCTCATTTATTCCTCCTTACCTATGAGGCAAAAAATATTATGACCTCCATCTTACTTTGATTCAGAAGAAACTGAAGCAAAAAGAAACTGATTTATTTACAATTAAATGATAGAACCACACTCGGAACCCAAGTAATCTGACTCAGGAGTCTGTGTACTCATTAATCATACTATTCTACAGATGTACACAACATACACATTGAGAAGGCACTTTCTTGATAGTCATTTCAGGCTGCTATAACAAAACACCATAGACTGGATGACTTAAACAAAAATCTCTCACAGTTCACCAGACTGAGAAATCCAACATCAAGGTACCAGCAGGTTCAATGTCTGGTCTTTTTCTTGTGTCCTCACATAGAAGGGATGAAGGATCTCTCTTGAACCTCTTTCATAATGACATGAATCCCATTGTGGCCCCAACCTGAGACTTCTTTTATAAAGGCATCAATTGCCTCCCAAATGCCCCACCTCCACATATCCTCATATCGAGGATTGAGTGTCAGCATCCTAACGTGGGAGAGGGGGACACATTCAGTCCGCAACATCCCCCCTCTCCTGCTGTCACAAAATTAGTGACAGTTGTTGAGAAATGCCCAGTTACAAAAGAAAGAGGAATTTATGATCCTCTGTTTCAAGGCCTTAAATTAATAGCTTCAATCCATCAGATTTGACATACTTTTTATTTATATTTCCTTTATCTTTCTTGAAACTCAAATTGTATGCCATCATACAAAATTTTTTAAAAATCAATCTTAGTTTTAATTTACAGAGAAAAAAAGGAAAGTAATTTTTGAAATATCTAGTTCAGTATGTAAATGCTTTGGCATGTATGCACTTTACTGACATGATGAAGTAATTAAATGATTATATTTATGGAATCATCGGTGTTGGCAGTTATTGATGCAGCCTGATACATGTGTATTGTACCAGCGATATAACCAACAATGTGTGTAATTTTCTTAAATGGTGGGCAACTTTATGATAAAGTTCTGGGGAAAGAGTACAAAATTCCTCAATTCACATGGAACATATCTCTTCAATTCTATGATACGTCTTTTTTCACACTTTACCATCTCTGAAATGACCATCCATAATACATCAGTGGCATCTTACAGTTTCTGTCGGCAGAACAGCAGTCACATGTGTGTGTCTGAGCATGTGTGGACTCGTGTGAGACTTGCTGGCAAGACTGGGTAACTGCTACCTCTGAGCGTTTCAATCTGCAAACTCTTTAAAAGTCATTTTAGGAAAAACTTCTGTTGATATCTTCTAGTAAGATCAAGAAACTACCAGCATCAAAATTAGCAGAACAAGTATTAGTTACTTAGGAAAAAATACCTAAGAGGAGCACTTTTATAAGTGGTGGGACATTTTATTAAGAAATGCCATCACTAAAACTTTTCAAGACCCAGAGCCAATACTGTGTGAGAAAACATGAACACAAAGAATTTTAAGCAAAAAAGTGATTAAGATTATTATTCTGACTGGGAAAATAATGAAACTACTTTTTTCACTTGTAATTTACTTTTTATATATATCCATAAGTGATATATGATAAAAAAAATAAAATGCTAAGGAAGCTTTGTGTCAGTTTAATTGATAATTTTTTCCACAGTATAAATTAACAGTGTATTTTACAATTATTAGCTTTAGAATAGATGAAAAAAAATTTTGGTGGTATTGGGATATGAACTCAGGGCCACTTGCTGGGTAGGTGCTCTACCACTTGAACCATGCCTCCAGCCCTTTTTGCTTTACTTGTTTTTCAGATTTTTTTGGCCCAGACAGGCCTGTTTCTCAATCCTCTTACTTATGTCTCTGGTGTAGATGAAAAAAAAAAAAAAAAGACTTTTAAAAGGCAGCATATATTGAGCTAGGAGTGGCCATACATACCTGTAAATCCAAATACTCGAGAAGCAGAAGTAGGAGCATTGAGGTTCTAGGCTGGCCTAGGGCAAAAAGGAAAAACCCTACCTAAAAAATAAAACTAAAAGCTAAAAGAACTAGGGGCTGTAGCTTTAGTAAGAAAGCAAGCCTGAGGCCCTGAGTTAAAAATCTCAGACCACCAAAATAATAATGTAACATATATTAAAACAGAACAATTTTCTTTTTTTTTGGTTTCCATATGTGAAACAGTGCTAGATTCTCCCATCCAAGTACTAAGCAGGCCTGACCCTACTTAGCTTCTGAGATCAGAGGAGATCAGCACATGCAGGGAGGTATGGTCTTAGAAAAGAGTGCTAAGTTCTAGGGTTAAGTAATAATAGTTTTTCATTGACGTGCAGATTTGGCACTAGACAATTGTTTTATGTAAGGAGCTATCCCTATACCAAAAATCCCTAATACCCCTAATGAATGCTGCCCCATTTATTGTAGCAATCAAAATGACTCCAGTAACTAAGGGCTTTCTCTCTCTCTCTCTCTCTCTCTCTCT